AACTCGACTCGACGAAAGAACCAACCTTCAAATGGCATGTGTCACGTCAATCGGACATAAACAGCAAACCTACGGTGGTGAAAGTGACGCTACTTCTCCTACTTCTTATGGTTGCTTTTATAGTTCTGCCCTTATAAGCGAACACCCCGTATTTGAAAATGTTTAAAGATGGCGGAAAATCGATTTGAAATTTCAATTTCTTCACAATTTCAATTAATTTATGTTAATATGTAAAGTCCATAATTATTTTTGGTTATACATGACGCTAATAAGTCCCCCAGCTACGACGATGAAATTAATAAAAATGGATAGAGGGCACCTTAACTAAGCGTGTTCAATAAAAAAATCTGCGGAAGAAGCCCTAAATTTTCCAGTCTTAATTAAGTTCAATTCATTTCGTCGAAAGTGAGGTTATATTACTCCAAATTTCATGATTGTTTTTCAGTTGGTAGTAGTGTTTTTAACATTCCTGAGTTTTTAGCGAAACGATTAGTTTATGATAAAAATAGGTCAGACAAAAATTGTAGATCATGCAATTATATACAAAAAATGTCCTTACACTTTCTCTCCTAAGATTCAGTACTTCTGAGAAAACGCGATTCCAAAATTTACTAAAGTTATATTCTCTATACTATGCAACCATTTCCAGGCCACCTGCGAGGTAGTGTCCTGTTTCATACAGGATACTACTGTTTGATTAACCGAACTTTTGATTCTCCGAAGCACTACCGGTCCCAATTAGTTCGAATAATCGACGTCCTACTATACCACAAGTTTTCAATACCAGAGAAGGCATTTTGTTGGGACCATAACAAAAAAAGCAGAAAGGCGGGCACTTATCATTCAATATTAATTTATTAGTCACGCAGACTAATAGTTTGATTTATATTATTCGTCCAATGATGTGTATAGGCAGCGTAGTCGCGCATGTAATGGGGAATACAGCTTTAGTCAATTTTAGAATCGCTTTTTCTCAAAAATACTCAATCTTAAGGGAAAAAGTGTAAGAACAATTTTTGTAGATAATTGCATGATCTATAATTTTTGTCTGACCTATTTTTATCATAAAACTAACCGTTCCTCTAAATAATTCAAAAACCCCATTTTCTTCTCGACTGTATAAGGGGGTGGATGCTAAGCAGCGATTTATACGGAAAAGGCGTTCAAAGTTAATCGGCAGCCGATACAAACGAATTGGTAAATGAAACATGCAGGAAGTGCTCGGGTATTCGATACAGAGAAGTCAATCTTTGCCAGATGCAACATGTAACCTTCTCTACAACATTCTTCTTCCCTAATCAGAGACCTAAGTCTCTGTCTCTATTGCATTCAAGTTTAGACTGTATACCTACGCTTCGAAAAGTGGTGTTAAAGTGTATCCACATGTGACATGGAAGTGTCGCTTCTGTCTATCTGTCTTCCTGTTGTACTACTTTTATTACATTAACTGTTAATATACCTACACGTAAACCCAGCATATTTCAATTTAGTAGGCGAAGAAGTTAAATAACCTCCTACAAAAATTAGCTGTCACCTTTGTTTATAAATGAATAAAGAAAGCTGTCACATAAAATTTTGCAGTTTCGCCAACTTAAGAATGACGAAATTAAAGTAAAATAACACCAGATGTCCAGGAAATGAAGTGAACTTTTAATTAAGATTGTGGAAAATTTAGGGCTTCTTCCGCAAATTTTTTTTATTCAAATCGCGTTATTAAGGTGCCCTCTATCCCTTTTCATTAATTTCATGATCATACGTGGGGGGCATATTAGCTTCATGTACCCTTATTTTTATTAGCACGTATTAAATAAACACGAACAATTCAACAAATAAAAACGCAGAAAGATGTAGAATGATAACTGTCATTTCTGATTGCACTTTAGACAATTGATTCTAAAGACCGTTTTTAATAAAATTTATATATTTCGGTTGGCATTGGTGATCAGAAATTCAATTAGAGCATTTTTTTAAACATTACTCCCCAGCGCACATATTGTCTACAATAGGCACACAAAAAAGCCGCCCTTATTAAGCGGTTGGTCACACATTCAAAGGTCTGAATTCTGGCTGACTGATATTGTGTGTAGATTAAAAAAATTTAATAAAAAGTAAGACATCTCATTTAAAATTACGAAGATCTCGTAGAAAAGGATACCTTGTTGACGATTTTCCAAATCAATGAGGACCCTCCCAGTCGGAAGTGGCGTTAATCACCAATGCCGATATTGCATGTTTCAGTTAAATGTATCATAGTACTGTTAACTCGTGAAAGAGCCCATCTTTTATACCCTCTGTTCAATATCAAAAAGAAAAATGCATTGTAAGTCCCAGGCAAAGGTTCAAAACGGTAGTCCAGGACACTATCAATTTAATCGACAATATACTATGTACTAACCAGCAGAACTAAGAAAAAGATAAAACTCGTTAATCTGAGTTAGGTATACTTACGTTAACCGTGCACTTAGACAAGTGATGAATGACCTCCCACAATTTATATAGGTAATAAATTTGCACCGACTATGAATCCACGTCTAAGTGCAGTGTAGACATACTTGCACAAGAAAAATGGTTGTGAACAAAAAATAATTACAGCTTACAATTTTTTCTAGGCGCACGTGCAGAATTTCATTATTTGTAAGTGGAGGATCAAACAAAACGCGGGTACCTGACAGGCGTTTACAAAAAGTGCAAAAGTTGCCTTCCGATTTCCTCAATAACTTTGTTTCGAGGTAAAAAAATGAATTCCTGTTAATGACCAATGGTTGCTAAAGGTTTAAGCTTGTGAATGAAGTTAAATTTGATAATAAATTATTATCAATGTGTGATAAAAATGAAAGATATATATCTTATGTGGGAGTTTTTTAAGAACTTCTTTCCTAAATAACGGCGAAAGTACAGGAATTAGCTAATTAATTTTTGTTTCATGCAAATGTCGGAACGTTATATATTTGAATGAATGTTATTTCAACCAAAACTGTATATCTAGAAGGAAGTTATTGTGGAAACAAATTTTCACTTTTTCAATGTAAACGCCATCTTAATATTTTCGTCAAAATTTTCTATGGTTTGGTAGTGTATGTTATAGTAACTCAATCATTAAATAAATACATACCCAAATACAAGGTCTATTTTTTCGTTACTTTACGTTTTCGTAGAACTATGGCTTATATCCTCCTTTTCTTACCTGAAACGAAAACGAAAACAGTTATTACCAAAGAGCAGTCGTACTTCAAGTCTTCAACAATAGGCAGGTCTCATACTTTCTGATTTACTTATAATTTGGAAGAGTTAATTACTCACTAACACGTGGCACAAATAAAAAATTGAATGAAATTAAATTGCGGAGTGATGGGCAAAATCATTTTCGTAATTTGAACGAGGCTAGAAAACGGTACCTCGGAACGAGGCTACCGTTATGACGTCAGATGCCTTTTAAGCTCAAGACAAGTTCTCGTTTTTAGCGCATTTTTGAAAAAAATACGCTATTATATTCGTCATTGCTGGCAGGCCGGCTGTCCGCGTTAGATCTCCACAACTACAATAGCTAGAGACTTCAAATTTTCACTAAAAGCTTCCTGCTATAGTGTAGATGTGCAGCCACTAGTCTATTTTGAGTTAGATTACTTGTGAGATCGATAATTGAAGAAAATAATTTCGATATGGGTTTCGGAGGTACTATAATTTTACCGTTAGATAGCGCTACCAGTATAAAAACTTATTATTTACTTTGCGATTTGTTTTACAAAATGAAGACGTACCGTCAATTGAAATGAAATAAAATTAATTATTTAACGCAGCCAAAATTACTCGTGAGATCGATAATTTTAAACTTCGCTAATAAAATACTGACCTGCATTACCAAAAATGGCGCTTAATCACACTGAGAAAAAAAAAATGTTAAAGCAAAGAAAAAACGGTTCATCCAATATATTCTGAATATTACATATGAGCAATATGGTAAATGTGTCACTTGAAATAATAATGAATGTTAACATTGGGTATTTTGATTAACAATACAAGTTATTAAAACTAAACGTTTTTAGCAGTTACATTGATTCATTCGGAAGTTTGATTTGTGTAGAGAAAGCTATTTATGTAAATATGTAATTGATAGAACCAACATTCTAAATTTGTTGTTTAAAATAATACAGACACTCTATTTGCATACTTAAACCATTAGCTTTTCAGTCTAAATGCATCAAAATAACAGTGTCAGGATATTATTTGAAGTGACCAAAGACGTTGACATCGCTCATTATAGTATCAAATCGAGTGTCGAAATTCATTCTTTAAACCACTATAAATACTTTCGCCCAGCCGTTACATCATTCACCTTACTTTAACGGTAAATAGAAATAACAACTGCAAATTATTACATTTACACTTTGACATATCATGTAGAACATTCGAAATAATTCATTCAAATGTCACTATTTCTTGTACCAATATACAAGGTATCTCAATTCGAAATTGTTGTAGATCAATTGTATATTTGAGAAGCGCTTGAATTTGGTAGCTAACATACTCAAAATGTTGTCTGAAGTTTTGGTGAAAACGTACAATAAAGTGAATTTAGTACAATAGTATCTACTAATTTCACTTTATTGTAGGTTATGATCTTGATGCTTGTGAATACACAGGCATCAAGATCATAACCTACTCCAAACCTTAGTAAATTACCTACTGTGATCATTTTTGTTAATGTTCCTCAAAACTCTAAGGCTGTATTTTGCAAAATAGTCGTAGTTATACATAATAATGAAACTTCATCTGTAACAAGATAAACGGTAATTAGGTTTTTTGCTTCGAAGAATATCTACGACACTAAGTGAATAAAACACTACTTTAGTATATGATACATGTATATTAAACTGAACAATACTTACATTCTCATTTTCTCTATAATCTCTGCTTCTAAACAGTATAACTTCTTAATAACATAAATAAAATTCTAAATAGGTCAATCAAGTTATCACGAATATACACGTAAGTGACAATATTTGTTAGACGAAATATCAAAAAAAGTAACAAGAATAAGGCAAAATTTTAACTAAAGCGAAACTATAGCATATGAAAAGTATGAGAACGGTACCTATGTAAATAATTTAGCCTATTATTTAGATTGAGGTAATAACATGCACATGTAATAAGTAGCTATATAGGTACTAAACTATTTTATAATAATATCTATAAAACTAATTCATAGGAACAAACTGTTTTTGGTCAACAATATGGATGGACGTGGGAATGTTACTATAGAGGTTATCCCACTTTTTGCATAATAACACTTCAGTTTTTTCAATCTCATAGGCACGAAAATGAAGATTAAAACATACAGTTTTCAATTTGTTAAAAATGAAATATATGTTATTTGTGTCTTCTGTTATGATAATAGAGCGGATGACGCCAAATATTGGCATAAAATCGATAAATTCAATAATTAAGACATGGTTTACATTATACTTCACACCGTCAATCTCTATCCAGGTCGGAGCAAAATGATCATTAGGCACATTAAAATTAAAAAAACCCATAAATGTTCTATATTCCAAAGTATCATCGTTAAAGTGTATATTCTCAGGTCCAAATTCAATGGTATCGCTAAAACCATTTTTAGCTAAGAGACGATGACAAAACCTCAATTGATTTTTTAAAGCAAGTGTGTATAAGATATTTTTTCGTGAGCTAACTGAATTTGCTGTTTGCTTAAATTGCCTATGTTTGCTTTCAAAGCGCATGGACGATACAGCTATTAAAGGGCCAATTTTGTGCATTAAATTGGGATAATGTGTCATTAAATGATGTTTTGGTTTCAATGGTCCGAAAAACTCTATATATATTTCATGGTGTTCAGCAATAAGCGTTCTAAGTAATTCCGAATCATTGGCACTAATAACTTTACTAGTTACAATTTCAATAATTTCTAGTAACACTAAATACATTTCCCACAGATGATTATTTTTGGGAATACAATCCCCTATTATAAGAGAAAAATGTTTAGTAAAAGATGACATTTCTGAGGCAGAAAAAAATATATGCTTCTTTAATATCTGTGATTTTGGTATAGTTGTAGGTTTATTCTTATTTAAAAAATTAAAAAACTGAATGCGTTTATTTAACGTGTCAAGTGTAAAAAATTTATCTACATATATGAAATGATGCAACAATTTTCCAAAATCGTACCGACATACACCTTCCCAAATGTCATGCATGATATCACACGAAACGTTGCGAGTTATATTAAAATTTGGTAATTTGTGCCATACGCACTGCTCTTTTAAACCATAACTTAGTGTCGATAAATCTTTTTCATAATTTTCGGGTGTACGTAACGAATTTATATTTTCTCGGGTGTTATAATTTGTCTCAACTTTATCACATCTACAAAATCTGCAAAAATAATTTGAGTTAAAGCTTTCAGTTAATCCTAACATTGAGTTTAGACCTAAGTTATCACCCAAAATTAACACTACATTAAAATATACAGTGTGACATCCTGATACAGTATTTATCGCTACACCATTACTCTCTAGACAAATCAAGTCATTAATTATACTTTCAAAAATTTTTTTATTTCCAAATGATTTAACATCGGAGGAGTAACAAAGTTGAAGGAGGAAAATATTTTCTAATTTTGAAGCATACCGTGGTGGCAAGCAACCTAAGGAAAAGTATATTCCACAGAGTTTATGGATGCCAGCGTGACTGCCAAGTGGGTTTCCTATTTCGAAATCGTCTCCATAGATCATTAGAGGGAAAACTAATTTATTTTCAAAACGTTTTTGTGTGACTTGCCACAAATCACCTTGAATTATGTTACATATACTATCTGTATTTTTTAAGTCTGACATATAAGAGCAAATAGATTCAAATACATTAGGTAATTCTAAAAAGGCCTGTAAAGTTTGTCGAATAGGAATGTACTGACAAGTACTATTGGTCAAATCTGCTACAACTCTTGACTGGATTCTGATATCAGTTAATCTTTGACCAAGACTAATAGAAACAGGGGCAATAAATTTGCTGGATGATTGAAATTGTTTAAATCGTAAATATTCGGAGCCAAAATCTTTAAAAATGTTATCTAGCAAATCTAACATATCAATAAGTTCTTTCTTATCCGCATCATTACAGGTAGAGCCACTTAATTTTCTTTTTATTATTTGTAAAGGTTCTCTGAATAATTCCGAAGTATCCAATATCACATTTTGGACAATATTTCTGGGGAAGGTATAATTACTGTACAATTTTGAAATAAAGAAGATACTTTTTTGGGCTAGGGAATTTTTGAACTCTTCATTGAAGTTATAATTAGAGGAAGCATTTGGGGGACTATTATCAACGACAGTATTTAAATTGTCATCACTCCAATCAAATATAGATTCGCTTTGAGACGTGCCTGTATTAGTATTTGAGACACCTGCATCGAAATCGTCAGTATTATGTTTTAACTTATAATGTCGTTTCAAATTATAAATATTTTGAAACGATCGAGTGCATTGGTTTTGTTTACATGAGAATGTTGAAATATAAATATGATTAATTTTAATGTGCCTAATGAGAATATTTATATTATTGAAACATTGATCGCATGCAGGACATATTAACATTATTATAAAAACAATATACACAAAATAAAGACGTGATGATGATTACACATCGGGTTCTAGCTCTTTTAATAATGTCAGTACTGCAGGTGATTGGATAGCAGAACTTTCTAAATTGTATAATATTCGCTCAACTACTAACCATATATGTTCACATTCTTTTGGATAGTTCGCATTTAGTGAATGGAAAGCTTTGAACAGAAAATCAAAAGCGTGTAAGACCGAGCAGGTTTTGTAAACATTGGTATCAATGATTACGTAAGATTCTGTGATGCAAGAATAGGATGCGCCAACCACAATCATATAAGGCTGAACCGTTAAATTTAATTCACTTAATTTATTCCTTCGTTTTACTATGCATTCTTCAATACTTCCGCAAGTCTGTAAAAAATAATAGCATTACAATTAAGAAGTAATAAGATAATTAATGATCATAGAAATCTGATCATTTTAACAGCCCTATTGTCAGATTTACAAGCAATTACGCATCAAATGAATAAATTATCAAAAAACATAGTTAAAAAGAATGGTAAAAGAATGAGACAATAAGCCATACCGACACCAGGTTGATTAAACTTTCTTGGCATTCTAAAATACTCGGCTTCCAGTGCGTTTTCTTACATCTTATTCGACCTTTGGGGGGAAAGATCATCGCTAAGGCTGCAATCTGAATTGCGTTTTTTGAATCTATAATAATTATAAATTAAAACATGTATGTGCCTCATTCTAGAATATTAATTTATTATACCTTGACTAATTTCAGAAGATAGGGGATCAACAAATTCCTCCGTGGCTTTATCCAAAGTGTGTATGTTCTTCAATTTGATAAAGAATTTCTCCCATTTTTGATACTCGTTTAATAGCGAATGTATGGGACAATTTGGAAATAATTCGTGAAAATCAAATTGAATCTAAAACAAAAATAGAAAAGTTTAATAAATTGTCAAGTATCGGACTTGCATGTTTTATTAGTCATGTTAATATAAGATTTGACCTACCAGTGTAAAAGCATTTTTATGTTTTAATATAGGCCATTCAATCATATATTGTTCTACTGTTGGTATGGTGTTTTTTATTTTTCTTAAGGGAAAAGTTGTTTTCCAATTATGAAGAACCAAGTCCCAAGGTTCTTGGAAACTTTTTAGCCATACAGCACAGTCATGTAATTCATCTAAAATAATAATTAGAGGTAAGTACCTATGTAGTGATGATATAGATACTATACTACATGGGTACTGAAAACCACGTTTAGAAGTATCTGATATACACCTACCCTTATTAGAAATATCCTCTATTAAAGTGTTGTCAGTTGATGTACCGTCACTATCGCTTAAGCTAATCTTTGGCAAATACACTCTTCTTAAATTTCGATACATGTCGATAAGTTTTCCCTTTGCATTTATAGGTTTCTTCAATTTATTTCCTGGTACTCGTGCGATATAGTAAGTAGCCTTAGTTTCAGTGGGAAAGATGTTGCATATCTTTTCAGATAAAATTTCAAAATCGATCGGAATTAATCCACTTTCACTGAAATACAAAACATGATCAATTAATTGTTTAATAAAGTTTCTATGAGTATTCAATTTGTTACCTATCTTGAGACATCAAACCGCTAATAAGAATATGGGAAAGTTTACTACGCATGTTTCGTGTGAGTCGTTTTTCTTTTCGATATGTATTTAAAATGTATCTTCCCGACACTGTCTTATCCAGAAATGCTTCCACGTCCAAATTATACACGTTTCGGCAAGCCTTTTTCAAATTCTCTTCTCCGCAAAATGCCATTTTTCTCTTCGTGGCAGCCTGAAATGCTTCCCCAATGACATTTGTAGCATCTTGTAGTGCTCCATACGATGCGGACGTGGAGCATGATGATGTAGAAGCCGAGGGAGATAAAATAAATTCAATGATCTCATTTGGATTGGAAGCAGAATCTTCTGCTACTGGAAGGCTGGTTGATGGCATCTAAACAAATTATTATATTTCGCAAAAACCATTTGTTAAATAAACTTACATTGTTTTCAATATCCTCTAAGAATGGTGTGTTAATAACATTTTGATATTGTTTAAGCCTGTTTGAAAACTTCACCCTGGGGCCTATTTTAGGGATCAATTCCTTCAAACTATCAAAATCTAAGCACAATAGCGCATCTTCGTCGATATCTTGCTCTAGAATTTTAAATAATGAAACTTGAAGTATACCTACACATTGTAAGACGGTATAAATATTTTGAGCTGCAAAATATCACAGTGTTGTTAAAAAAGTGATGCGGCGAGTGCCCACTTTTTGCACTAAGGGCATCCTCTTAGGCTACGCGCTTAGTGTTTAGAAAACTTTGTGTAAATGTTGCTTAACGCTCTTTATCAAACAAATTTATTGTCTCATTCTTATTTATCAGGGCAAATAAAGACGAACATTATATTTTCATACCTGCAAAGACAGCTACTAAATCAGGAAATCCCCATTCACAAAGCAATTTTTCCATATTACTATACGCGAGACTATACGTACAATTTGTGGCGACAACAAATCTAAAAAAAAATTATTATCATGTAGGTACCTACCAAGTATTTTAGACTATAATCATAATTAGCTATTTGAGGACCATTATCATCTAACATAGTGAGGAAAATAACTAATGGGATAAATTCGAAAAATCATTTAATGCACATTTTCAGAAAATAACCTGGAGGAGTGTAGCGTGTATATAGCGCAAATGAAACAAAATTAAAAAATTTTATATCTTTTGTTTTTGAAGTTATGACGTCATGTTTTTGCAAATGAAAACTAATATTTTTTACTCTTAATTTTGAACAAAGTCTAGAGTAGATTGTGTGACAAAAGGGGTATTAAAAATTGAAATTGAAATAAATTTCTAATTTTTCTAAATGTTTTCAGAAGGGCCCAAATGTTCCGTTTCTTCAAAAATTTGCGCCTCTTCTTTAATTTTTTTTCAGCATCCATAATACAGAAGTATGGGACTAACATCTTTATAAATAGGTATCTGATTTTCTAATTTTTCAGTTTTTTTCCCATATTTCCTAATTTCAAGGTGGTGTACCTACCGCTAAACGGACGTGCAAAGAAATTTCTATGACGCCCAGGATCGCAATCCAAAATCTAGTTATAAATTTGTTTGCCACCAACCTGCACTTGAGCATACGAATGCAAAATTTTACACAAGTTGGTCGTTGTATGTAAAAGTTATGCACCTTCAACTTTACACATCCCATTATTAATGGGGGGGGGGGGGGGGATTAATACAACAAAATGTTAAGGCGTTAAGACCTTCAAGGTAAATCCCCTATTAAAAAAAAATTCAGAACAATTTCCCTAAAAGTACGTAGCTTAATTTTTTTAAAATCACTTATAATTATACAAGGAAGGCAAGTTTTGAAGTCTTTGGGAACGTGACTCCCAAAGGAAACGTTTTGGACCCTTGGTTTATTTAGAAAATTACTTGCTTTAAGTCTTATGTCATATAATAAGGACATTACTTTGGCTGAAACCAATATATGGGTAGTTCTCCCTGGCTAGTTTGTTGGTCTCCTTGGGACCTACTTCAAGTACGCAGATCAGCTATTTCGTGTCGATTGGCCTATTTTAAATTGCTATCATTACTACTGTGTATTAGGGTGGAGCGAAACATTTTTTAAATTAATAATGCCTGTGTGTATATTAGTTGTGTACAATAAGCCTTAATAACCCCGTAAAATCTCAAGTGTGTCATCCGTTTCCTTCTGCTGCCGAAATTCATTTTAAAAATGCTATAACTTTACCATAATTTTTAATATTTCTTGCTGTTATAAGTGGTCTTTAAATGGACCACTTAGCTTGTTTAATGTTTGAAACAACCCAGAACTCACCAAGGGGAGGTGGCTGCATGTCGACTTCCATCCCTACCCCAACCCCACCCAAACACCAGCTATTTTTTCCAGATTTATACTTAAAACAGGTAAATATGGAGATTTTGTTTCAAATTTGGGAAACATTCGATTCTTGATTTTATAAACCTATTTCTTGATTCTTCTCCACATACAGCAGTTGATTCTTCTGTTACCAGCTTCATACATCTCTCGATTGCTTGTGTATGTCATGGAAAATTCATTATAGGGATCTCATCAGATATATCAACTATCAGGTTGCTTCAATCATCGCATCAGAAACGTGAGGGAGGCTCTGTAATTTTCGCTGATTGCCAGTCATTAACTTTATGTAATCTGTGGCCTCAAAATTAAATGGCGGTATTTTAAAATCTCGTACAGTACCTATCTAGTTCATTAGCGTTTGTAGTTCGGCACTTTAATATTCGTCTAAGTCCCAGTTCTCGCACATGTTAACGAGTATCTGCTAACATAGCGAGTATTTTCAGGGTTGCCAAAAAAACAGTTTCTTTGTATCACTGGGTCTATAAGTATGTTTAATTATTTTGACAAAAATCGTGATTTTTGAATAATACCAGATATACCGTATGAGATTTTAAAATACCGCCATTTAATTTTAAGCCCACAGATTACATAGAGTTGATCGACTGACAATCAGCGATAATTACAGAGCCCCCGTTAACAACACATATTTCTGATGATGATTTAAGCGACCTGATAGTTGATATTTCTGATGAGATCCCCATAATGAATTTTCCATGTCATACACAAGCAGTCGAGAGGTGAGTGAAGTTGGTAACAGAAGCATCAACTGCTGGATGTGGAGAAGAATCAAGAAATAAGTTTATAAAATCAATCTGTTTTAAGTATCAACAATTTTTGTTTAAATCTGGAAAAAATAGCTGGTGTTTGGGTGGGAGTGGGGGTAGGGTGGGTGTGGAACTCGGCATGCAGCCACCTCCCCGTGGTGAGTTCTGGGTTGTTTCAAACATTAAAAAAGTAAGAGGTGCATTTAAAGATCACTTGTAATAGCAAGAAATATTAAAAATTATGGTAAAATTATAGCATTTTTAAAATGAATTTCGGCAGCAAAGGGAAACGGATGACACACTTGAGATTTTACAGGGTTATTAAGGCTTACTGTACGCAACTATTACATAAGTACATAAGAATTACAAATTAAGAAAAAAAATGAAATCTCGCCCGAAATTCGCTCCACCCGCTGTGTATATTTAGAGAAATATCCATGAAACCAACAAACAAACCAGAAAATGTAATATACTCAAAAGCTAACACAATCGTCACCTTAAGTCTGCAATTTTCCCATATTATTGCACTAAGACGTTATCGTAATGATTCCTTAAAAGCAACAGTCGGCCATGACAGACATGCATATTTTTTTACATAGGTACTGAACTTATGTCAGGCGCATAAGTTGAAAACATATAGGTACTTCATTTAGGTATACTTACACTATATGTTATGAAGTGATGATTCTTGTGGAGTTTATAGGTGCACCACTCCCACTCGTAATTCGTATATGAAACACAATTTTTACACGAACTTATGTGTATGAACGCAATTACCCTTCATGTGTGGGAATGGTGAAGGAAAGAGAAATGCGCTGCGCAGTGAGTTGCGAATTGCTTGAATCGCTTTATAGCTTAAGTCAACATGCAAAGTTATTGACTCAAAGAATAACTTGTTAAACCAATTGCCTTAAACTTTTCCATCACATGCAAAGTTCTTCAGCATACAAATACTAATTTTCGAATTAAACGTGTAGGTTGTAAAAATGAATAAACAAAGGTTGTATATAGAACAATTAACTTATTTTAATATCATATATCTCATACATTGAAGCATCCTTTCAGCGTCTTTTGAAATGATAAAAAACAAATACTTTGCTTTATATGTAATACATGTTGAATTAAAAACGTGAACTGCTTCTTTTTGGTTATGATAAAACATAAATATTGAATCAATTAACTATTCTTTACATAAATGAAATGTTAAATTAAAATGTAGTATGTACTTATACCAAAATATTTTAGGTTGATTTAATAAGAAATTGTGTAACATCTTTGGGGTTATTGCACCAACAAATTCATTTTTCTCAGTGTAGGATATTTCTGTGGCGAGATCTCGATCGATTTATAAAAAGCTTAAAAAGCACCCTATGATTGCTTCCGAATGTTCAATGGTCATGATTATGGGATCATAACGTTCTGGCAAACCGTGCCCTACCCCTACCCCCCATAAAATCCTAAATCATCCAGCCAATGGCTATAAATCTTTATTTAATTTATTTAATCGACGTATCTTAATTTGTTCAGATATATAACAAACGAAAATATCACTTACTTGTTGCTATGAGAAAGAAAGAATTTAATTTGCTGTCAGTTATCTTTGTGACAATCGTGAAAATTAATTTATGGATTCAGATTTTACTTCCAAAATGGTTTACGCACTAGTCGAAAGAGTGGAAATTATTCTACTTTTTGCGAAAACGAATCGACCGATTTTAAAAAATCAAACGTCAAAATACAGGACCTCGAAAGACCTGTCAAACAAGCTATTACTCGATACCACTTTGTCAGTTAAAACTTTTAAGGGAATGACCCTTGGAGGCAGAGGGTGAAAGGGGGTGAAGTAGTTTTTGGTTAAAAAGTTCTCCCCTTTGACAAATCTTTTGATGTGTCTCGGCGTTTTGTCCTATCCGTGGTGAGAAGTTTTCAAATGAACACAGTGTATATTTATTATTCATAATTTATTTATTTTTACGCTACTAATTTTCTTAATTGAGGCCGAACGTAAGGTTCTATAAGTGATCCTTTCCTCATGACAAAAAATATGTTTTTAATTATTTTACTATGATATCGTCTAGACTAGTATATCTAATTTATTTATATTTGTTTCAGGTAAATCAATCATTCCGGAACTATTTATCACCTGAGACGAAGCAGTTAACGTAAGTTTCGTCAAATTGCACAATACATTCGAACTTAAATGACTTAGAACTAATTTGATTTTCCCAATGATGAGTTTAGTTTCAACTTTCAACTCAAATATGTCTTAGAATGTGCCTTGGAATTTGCGATTAACTTAACGCTATTTACGTTAATGAAAGTTGCACTATTTAGTAATGTTTGGTTGTATCGAGGGTTACGCCGTTCACAAGATTTTATAAAATGTGTGGCGCCCCTCTTGGACCGTTTCTATTGCAAATGATGCAATCGTGGGTTAAACTAAAACAAATGGAATCCACTGACCAAGTTTAATTAAAAGGTCATCGTGCACAGGGTGGTTCAAATGCATGACTCGCCATTGGGAGCCTCGTAACGGTGAGAGATACCGTACGACATTACATTACGCGACATTTCATGACGTACCCTATCACGGCGACACTTCATTATACCCAACTTCGCCAATTCATCACCGGACATTTCATCACATTGTATAGCTACATCTTTTTTGATTCTGCGTGAAATGAAACAATTAAATTAGTGACAGAATAAAATAGGTAGGTAATACACAAAATAAACCCCTAAAGCGGATCTAAAAAAGCGGTAGAGCGGTGTGATCCTACGGGGTCATTTGATTTGACCCATTTTCAATAGACTTGTTACATGTGGCATGTAGGTCAACTGTGCAAAGTTTGAACAGAATAGGATCAAGCGTTTAGCATAGAAAGAGAGGCGTGACCCTACGGGGTTATTGAATTTGACCCATTTTCAATAGGCTTATTTCATGTGGCATGTAGGTCAACTGTGCAAAGTTTGAACAATTGTGCAAGCGCAAAGGTAGTTTTTGTAGCTCAAAAACGGGTTTTGCGCGTAATGGCAAAGGTGACCAGCATGACTTCTTGTCGCGCCATCTTTAAAGACTTCGGCATACTGACCCTTGTTTGCGTGTATATATTTATATGAGATGTGCTTGTATATATATGGGCACAGGTCTCGGTATGCCCGTAATAAAGACGTCCACTCTAAGGCCGGATGTCCACCGCATCGGAACGACCAAGATCGGTGCGATTTGAATCGCCCGATAAAGATCGCGCGCGTGTGCTCCTATTGAAGCCTGTCCAGTGTCCACAGGCTCGATTTTCGTCGGGACCGATCGAAATCGCAACCGACTATTTTCGCCCGACCCGACGTTCTTGAACGATAATTTGTCGGCAGTCGTGTGTCATAATAATCAAAAGTGCTGGTAATCTTTTTTCTACCGTCACACATCTTCTGTAATTGGTGTCCCTTTTGGCAATTAATGGTCGAGCAATGTCAGCCAAAGGAAAAAACTACTCTTGGACATACGATACATACATTTAAATTTGTGTTCATGATTCGCAAGTTCATGGG